CAGTGATGTTCAACATTTTTTCATATGTTTATTTGCTGCTTTTACTTCTTTGAGAAATGTCTGTTTCAGATGCCCATTTTTGAATTAGGTCTTTATATTTGAGGATCTGATTTTTTTAAGTTCTTTATATATTCTAGATAGTAGTCCTTTGAGGAGCAGCTGATAAAATTTTTTCCCTCATTGTAGGTTGTTCTTAGCTCTGTTGGTGGTTTCTCTTGCAGTGCCGAAACTTTTTTGTTGTTACCAGGGATCGAACTTAGGCCCTTGCGCTTGCGCAGCAGGCAGCAAAACCACTGAGCTAAATCCCCGGCCCAGAAGCTTTTTAATAAGATGAAATCCCAGTTGTTGATTCTTACACAAAGTATTTTTGTATTAAAACTATTTTTGGGAGCCAGATATGGTGGCATATGCCTGTAATCACAGCACTTGGGAGGCTGAGGCAGACCAGGCTGGACTACATAGCAGGACCCTATCTCAAAAAAGCAAAAATAATTTTTTAAAACCTGTTTTTAGTTCATCTTCCTTGCTAGCTCAGCATTTTTCCCTCCTCCCTACACTGGTAGTTTGGGAGCAGCCTGAGGGGCATGTCTACAGATGCCAGCTTGTCTAACTGCCCCTCAGCCTCTGCCAAAAGGCACTGTGAACATTCTTTTCCTTGGGTTAGGAATTGTGGGCAGTCCTGCCTGTGGGCTCCATCCTCAGTAGACCTGGCTATGTCTGAGGTTACAACAGCCATTAAGGTGCTGCCCTTCCCCACTGCTTAGTCCAGGCCATGCAGGAAGAGCAGCTTTGGAGGCAGCCCTGCCCTTCCATTTCCCTAGCTGCATGAGGACTTGGGATTCAGCTCTTGCCATCTCTGTTGGAAATCCTGTTTGCCTGATCTTATCTGTAAGTCCTTGGGCTTGTCTCAAATGGTGACACAAGGTAAGTAAAGGTATAGGTGATACATGCTTTGTGGGGTCATACAGAGGGTGGGTGTGTAGACCATGGACCATTCCTGTAATATGATGGGCCCTGGAGACAGGGACAGCAGCCAACCTCAAGGCCACAAGCAGAATTTGGTCTTGCTGGGGGGGCACGGAAAGCATCAAATTTCATTCAGGACAAATATACACACATTGGGTTCCAAAAGATCAGTCCAGCTGGGACAGACTTGGAAGCCAGCAGGGTGGCCCTTCTTACCTACTTCCTCCAACTCAAGGGCCAGAGAGTATTTTGGGTGCTCTCAACTCTGCCATTGCAGCTCAGAAGCAGGTGATACTTGAACAGCAGGTGTGGCCATTCCAATAACCCTTTACGAACACTGGAATTTGAATTTCATGTGCCATATCCCCCCCCCCAATATTCAAAAACCATCCTTAGCTCCAGACGGCATCATAGCTGGAGGAGGGGGCAGGTGGTGGTCTACCCTGGACTGCACATTTTTTGGACCGCCCCTGAACAGCATGACCTCTAGCGAAAGCACAGCATATTCAGATATGTTGGAGGGTGGCAAATTGAAGGACCACCCCAAGCAGTATGAAACTAGCTATACCACTGGCTCCAGAGCCTTAGAGGAGCTTCCAGAGCATTGAAAACAGGTGGTAGGTGGATGGTAGCTCTAACTGTTTCACTTCCTTCAGCCCTACCTTCCCAAACCCTCAGGATACAGAGTGACCGTGTACCCTTTCCTCTAGTCAAGACAAATCAAGAGTTACAATAATCCCTCTGGTTAGGTTTGTTTACAAAGGGGCATGAAGTTTCTCAGGCTTGGGGGTCTTTCTGACCCAAATATTGTTCATAATAGTTGGCACTGTCATCAAAGGTCAGTAGGTCTTGTGTGGGACACAGCAGATTATTATCAGAGTGACCCTCAGGTCCCCTTGGAACATGCACACAGCTGCACGACCAGGACCTTGGGAGAAAGGAGGCCAGTACCGTCCTTGTCCTCATCCTGCCATGGGAGGCTGTGGATTGTAGCCTCAGATGGTTTAGGAGACAAACCCCAGTGGTTGGTCCCAGCCTGTGTTGCTCAGATTAACCAGAGTGATTGCTGAAGCAGGAGACTCAAGTGAAAACTCAATTTCAGCCCCCAAATTTCCAGGCCCCAGGCAGAGCATTGTGATCTCCCTCAGGCCCAAGCCTCCCTACACTGTCTTACTGTGTGAACCAAGAAGCCCTGAAGGTGTTTTTCCTAGACCATCCCATAAGGTTATGTTGGCAGGGAAAAAAACCTGAGAGGTGAGGCAGTGCCCTCAGCTCCTAGCAGAGCAGGTCTGGCCTCCCACTGTTCTCATTAACTACCCTATAATAGTACATCAATCAAAGTCAGAGTTTTAGGAAGAGAAAGCCTGGGTCATCCTGCAAGCACCTAGATCTCATGTATGGCTTTAGAAGCCTTGCATATCACCTGGGTTCTGTGCTGGCTCTGAAGTGTGCTCTGCCCAGCAGTCTCTCAAGAGGGAGGGGCTGTGCCCTGGGTGGCTCTAATGGAGGATGGATTTTAAGAAAAGACAATCAAGTGGAGTAGTTAAAAGTGAACTCTGGAGACTTTGCTTCTGGACATGAGAGAAAACATTCCCTTAAAGTTGAAGCCACTTTGAGCCACTCATCCCCAAGTGAAAAATTTTTATTTGTACTTAGGATTGATTGATTCCCAAGCCTTTTCTTTCTTTTTTATTTACTGATGGGATCTCGTTAAGTCGCCAAGTGGCCCCAAATGGGCTTGAACTTGTACTCTTCCTGCCTCATTTTCCCAGAAGACTGGGATTACGGACATATGGCACCATTCTCAGCTTGTCTAAGGCTTTTTATACGCAGTTTAATTCGTCCTCAAGTCTGTACTGGTCACAATCCTGTAGTGAGCATGTCCAGCCCTCCAGGCCCTTCTAGCACTGAATACTATATTTACAAGGCCACTTTCAAATCATGTGCATCAACTCTCTTGGCCTTCCTTTTCAAGTCTTAATTTGTGTCTTAATTTTAACAAAGTGTACAGCTTATTTGGGGCGGCAAGATCGTTCTCGGCTTCATTTGCGGTTTCCTTTTCTCATCCACCCCACTTTGCCTCCTGCATTGTACCAAGTGCTTCTGTAGTGAAAACCATTCTACTGCAGTACTGGAGATTGAGCCTAGGAGTTTTGCACTGAGCTACATCCCCAGGTTCCCGCCAAACGGGGTCTCCTTACTCTGCTTGGGCTGGGCTCAAACTTTAAATCCTCCTGCTCAGCCTCCCAGAGTGCTGGAATAACAGGCGCCACCACACCCGGTTTAAAACCGTGCTTTATTGGAATGACTGTACATGCGACTGTGGTGAGGAAGAGGAAGGGCACGCGCCCTTCCTGTGGCCAGGCAGAAGAGAGGCAGGCGACCCCGTCCACAGGACTTAGTCGCGCGGTTCCCTGGAGACCCCGGAGCAAGGCCGGAAGTACGCGGAGACAGGGCTTCAGTCCGTTTCCGGTCTCCGGGGGGCGCCACCCCTCCCCTCTCGCGGCCCCGCCCCCAGCTGTCCGCGCTCTGCTGGTGCGGCGGCCTCACGGGATGAGTTCTAGTGGCCCGGGTGGCAGGCGCGGACCCAGGTGAGGCTCCCCAGCGCAGTGACGGCGGCTGTGCTGGAGGCTGCAGCCTGCAGAGTCCTCGGGTGGACACGAGTCGCAGGTCTCGGGCTGGAGCACACGCTGGTGTCACGACTTGCGCGAGCCTGGAGGCCACTGCAGTGGCCGATCCCGGCCTTCTGCCCGCCGCGGTGTGGGGCCGAGTCTGCGACCGGTCCGAGGGTCGCCTCCTGCAGCCGGTGGGGTCCGGCGTCCGGTCCGCGGGTTAGAAGCCGTCCCGCCTTCCAGGCACCACGACGCGAGCCCTAGAAGCAATGCCTCTGACCTTCCAGGACGTGGCCGTGTACTTCTCCCGGGCGGAGCGTCGGCAGCTGGGGCCCGGGCAGCGTGCTTTGTACCGGGATGTGATGCTGGAAAACTACGGGAACGTGGCCTCGCTGGGTGAGGGCCTCAAGGCGCCCGGCTAGCAGCGGGAACTCCCTGGGGCTTCGGGGTTGCCAGGCCCTTTGGATCCCAGAGAAGAGGGACCCACCCTCGCCCCAAACACTTCGATCTTTGCTAAAGGACCGTCCCGGTAGGAGTTGGGCCGTGATGCCGAGTGCTAGGGATGTCGCTGCCTGTCACGCGTGGCCCTGCCATGCCCCCTTCCGCACAGGAGAAGGAGTGTATTCTCCCTCAGCATCCCATCTCCGCCCTCGGGCCCCCTGACCAATGTGAGGCTTACGAACAGGACACCTCCCTCCTCACCTGGCCCTAAAGGCCAGAGACGAATGTCCCGCCCCAGGCCACACCTACTCACCCAGGGTCCTTATCCTCGACAGGATTCCCTATCCCGAAGCCGGAGCTGATCTCCCAGCTGGAGCGAGGAGAGGAGCTGTGGGTTCTGGATCTTCTAGGGGCTGAAGAAACAGAAGTCTTGAGAACCTACCAAACAGGTGAGAGTGGGGACCCAGTCTTTCCCTTAGAGGCTACAGTGAGGTCTGAGTCTCACTGAGTCTCACTGTACACACCTGAGCAGATAAGGGGCACCTGCCTTAAAGGGTCTTCCTTCCTGGTCTGTTTGCTTTAAAATGTACACAGGTTTTCTGGTTATATCTTGTTTTGTTCTAGTGATTACCTTTATAACACCATTTCCTTCTTTATATAATACCCTACTAATTCACTTCCTTTTAACTGTACCTATTGTTTTCCTACCATATCCCTTTTTTCCCTCTCATCTTTTCCACTCTCCATTTTGGTCAACGGTAATCTCTCTCTCTCTCTCTCTCTCTCTCTCTCTCTCTCTCTCTCTCTCTCTC